TTGATTTCTCCCTAAGATGGCAAACTGAAACATTCCAAGTTGGTGACTTTTGGAGATTTATTTCCCTGGATGATTGAGAATGCATCAAGACGAACACAAAAGGAAATTCACAGCTTTTAGCAGCTCCCCCGGACAAACAAGGAGGCAGTTGGCAGTTAGAAATTAGCAATCATTCTCACACACCCACTCCCCTCCAGAATTCTCGGGTAACAACCTAATTTACATATGAATGACTAGCCAATTTAGCTTCCACTTGGCTGAAGCTAAAGCCTAGCTAAAAGCCATTTGACTGGTAGGCGGGTTTTAAAGGTAGGTTTTAAAGGTAGAAAAGCCAACTGGCTGCTCTCGGGGGCTCTAAGTGTCAAAGAAATGTGTACTACAGCACCTAAGCCCTAACCCAAACCAGCCGCTTATTTCCTTTTGCAGTCTTTTTTCACCTACCTACTCTTCCCCTGAGCAATAAGTTGAACGTTCTAACACCTACAAGTGTGACTTTCACCTGTCTAGAAATGTAAATACTCTCTAGATCAAAGGTTATTATTCCACTACTTATTAGTCAAACACAGAAATTAATTGATTTTCACAAATGTAACATGCAGTGATCTGTACTTATGTTTGGCTTAAAAAACTAAATTCTTCTCAGCATTTTTTTAGTCTATTTGCATAAATTTCTTAAATGTCATTTCATGAAAGGCAAACCCTGCCCAAACTGTTTTCTCATAAAGAATTAGAAGATGGCGATCCTAACACTGGTCAACGGAAGTGGTCTGCTGTCTGTGCTTTTTCTTAAGTATTTTGACACCTGCTAGAGCCACAAAGAGGCTAGGGTGTAGGTTTTGATGGAAGCAGCAGCCTGATTGTACAGAACTGTCCAATAAAGTTACACATTTTAATGTTTATACTTGCACTGCAGACTTCAGATAATGTCTTTGTGTTGCTTTTGAAGTGAAATTAAACAAGTAAGTGTCGATTCAGCAGACATTTTCAAGGCCAGCTGTACTACTTGTTAGTGTAAACTTTTAATTCATTCTTAGAATCAAAAATAACTCTGATTAAAGGAAACATTCCTGGAAACTGAACATAGGATTTTGTTTCCCCTTTTCTCTCTCAGGTCAGTATCTCCACTGTGGGCTACGGGGATGTGGTTCCTGTAACTATCCTGGGCCGCATCGTGGCCTTTGGATGCATTACTTTTGGGATAATCCTCAACGGCATGCCGATTTCTTTCCTGTTTAACAAGTTCTCTGATTACTACAGCAAACTAAAGACCCAAGCTTACAATTCTACCTCAGTCCAGCGCCGCTTTCAGCTTAAGAAGAGACTCAAGCGTAAAATGGATGCATGGTTCCATCCCTTTGAAGAAGATGACACCACAGCCCAATCCCCACGCTAAGTGCATCTCATACATGACCACTGTGTACTGTGAACGTGCTGCAGCCTCAAGCTGCCTTCAAAAGTTCAAATGTGGTGCAAAAAAATTAAACCTAGCACATGAACGAGGGCAGGAAGAGGAAGTGGAAAGTTTCTTTGTACTGATGCAATTTCAGGCCTGGTAGTTTCACAACTACCACATGCACCACTGTTTCTTTTTCATTTTGTATGTATCTTGTATGTAAGTAATTCATGCGATTGAAAAGGAGCCTGGATGTCCAACCCAGGTATTTTAACCTCAGGTGAATCCATCGTGATGCTTATCTTCCACCTGACACCAGTGAATTATAAATAATGAATGCCTGCCAATGACACCTTCTTTTTTAAGTATGTGTCACATGCGACTGCGACATACCAAACAGGGCTAAAAGGGGTTTCTGGTTACCATATAGGTTACACTGTAGATTTCCCGCTAAAGCAAAATTGTACTGAGGAATAACGACCTTGACACGATGTTTTGGTGAAGGTCAAATCAAACGTTTCTGGATAAAATGTGAGCAGGTTTTGACATGTGCCAAGAGGAAAATGTATTCTCTCTGTTCCCAAATGACTTGGGATTAATAAAAACAAATGAATACAACAAAACTTGCATCTATTATGTTGCAGTATGTTAGCCTCAAAGGTTAAGTAATAAATTACCAACAATTTTTAAAAACTGTCCTTAAAATAGATGTTTATTGAAAGAGAGTTGCATTTTCTGTGCAGTTTCTTTACACTCATGTCACTGCTTGATGCCTGATAAAAGAAAATGTTTATATGGCCTTATCTGAGCTCTGTACCAGGAAAATAAAAGGTCATTTTCACATTTAATGTCTGGGGGGAGGACTTCACAACAGTTCCTGTCATTAGACTGGTGCTCCCAGTTCTTAACAGTGTTTACTGTAAACATTTCTATATATTACTTTTATTTTGCCTTGTGTGTCCTGTGGAAATTCCATTTTTTTAAAGTCTTGATGCATGCGCAATCATAGTAAGTAAAATAGTAAAAGATATAACAACAATGGGCTGTGAGATCAGTTTCAAATGTGTCCTAGCTGTTCCTGTACTCCTGACACACAAGGGATCACTAAAGTGCTTCGGCAGCAGTTGTCTTTCTCTCCTGGATACCTTGGAGCTTTCTTTTTGCCAAAGCTGGGAAGGCTTTGACAAATGTTCAGCTGGGCCTACTCAGGGCCTTCTTGATGTGATGTTCTTCTGCTTTCCTGGCCACTCGGTCTGTGGGGATGTAATTTGCTCCGTGTTGTAGTGTCCTGATGACACCCAGTTTATGCTCCAATGGATGATGAGAGTCAGACTGATTACACTGATCCATGTGTGTTTACAGAACACAACACCTTCTCAAAAAAATCCAAGGTGTTCTGGATATGGTGCTTAGAGCTGCCTGCTAACAGATTGAGGATTGAAGCCAGAAACTTTGACATGTTATAGGGGACCGAGTTGATGATACAGACAATTGGTCTGTATGTAATTGGGGAGATTTAAAGTTGATACTTGCCCATTATATTTAAATGACTTTGATAGTCTGCTGTAGGGGTAGACCCCACTATTCCATAAGATATCACTTCATTTGGTGGAGTGCGCTGTTTAGTATACAGGTCCGAATTCTCCAGCAGGTATTCACCCGAGTTGACATCTGGTGACTAAAAAGCTGCATATCACCTTACAGCCACATATTTTTCCAGATTCGTAGTCAACTGAGCTGTGCATGGTTTCAGTCTTTAAAAGAGATTACACAGCATATTACATCAGGTTTTGCAAACTCACACAGAGCATAATACATTCAGTCCTAGCACTGGTGACTTTTTAATCCATATTTCACAGTGAAATGCAGTTAGTCTGGTAAGATTAAGCTTCAGATTCTTCCCCTTCCCTGTCTTTCTCTTTCATTTCTCCAAATTGCTTTAGTGTCATGACAGCAGAAACTATAACCGCATTTATATTTCCATATACTACAGCAGTATTTTTATGCTATGCTTAACTCAGCACTTTTAACCCTTGACTAAAAAAAAAATCCCAAGGCCGATGGCAACTAAACCTTGAGGTTCACGTTCTATGTTTAGTTGTTATGCTTCATGTAAACATGTACATTTCAGTGTAAATATGAACTGAAATATTTGTAATTTTTTCACCCAAGTGCTAAAGGTTGAACACGCGAGGCAAACATGCTCGATCAATTCAAAATTGCAAAATTATTTAATTAAAAATCATTCAACGTGTGGGGATAGCAAAGTAGGACAGCCTCTGGGATTAAACATAAACTTGAAGGGGAACTTGGGATCAGGTGTTTTCTGTCAGGAATCAGCAGGGAGTGCGAACACTTTTAGTATTCAACTCTTGAAGATGTTTGACTTATCATTGTTGATGCTTGGCAGCGTGGAAAATGAGTTTTAAAATGTACAAAAGGTCCTTGAAAGCGTTTGGAGTCCTTCTAGCCCCGGTCAAAAAACTGTGTGCAAAATAGAGGAAATTTAAGACCATGAGCGCTTAAACAACGAAGGTCACTGGAAGAGTAATAATGGTCATGGCAGCACTCCAACGAGGAAGAACAGGCTTTCAGAAAGAACTTCCTTTTATTTTGGTTGAAATTTACACAGAAGCATGCCTGAAAAGTGTTGTATAGACAGAAAAAACCAAAACAGAAAGATGAAGAAATATTTTCACGATAAATCCGAAAGGGATTAAAAAGCTTTTGAAGACAAAGTGCAGGGAAATATTTAAATCTCAAGGCCAAGCCCTTAAAAGCATTTTACCATCCACATGAGTTAAGGTCTTCTTGTTTTACTGTGGTGATATTTAGCTGTGTCCTACAGCGAAGTACTGTCTCTACAGATACGACTAACCCTGCAAATAGAGTTTTAACTATATTAAGTGTCCCATTTCAAATTCAAATTCAAATTCAAATCAAATTCAAATTCAAATGTTATTTGTCACACACACACACACACAGCCATACACAGTATGACATGGGGGGGAGGGGGTGAAATGCTTGTAGCTGTGCAATGCCCGACCATTTGGTTGAAAAGGAAGCTCAAATCTTTAACTGGATAATGTGATCTTTCATAAATTCTGCTAAAGGATTTCCTTAGACTGCGTTGTGTAAAATGCTACTAGTGGATGTATAAATGGTGAATACCTCAATCACCCAAGCACTTTTTCTAAGTACTTTCTATCAAACATCCACACGCATTCAAAATCCAGTGGATTCAGTATCTTATCCAAGGATACTTTAACATGCAGACCAGAGGAGCCAGGAATTAAACCACCAACCTTCTGATTAGTTGATGACGTGCTCCACCCCCTACAGCTACAGCTAACCTAATAGGGGAATAACCTTTACTTTTAAGGTTTTATTATTAGGTAATCATCAGTAGTACATTTTATTTAAGCAGCGTCTTAATGATATTGTAATACTTATACTTCATTTAAAGTATTATAATATCATATATCCTATAATAATCACAAGTAATATTATTTCTATAGATATTTGTTATTAATCAACAGTCAAAGTAATTGAAATTGTGAAAGAAAATAGTCATATGATCGCAGATCGTTACCGACAGGCAATAGATGAGGAGATGACGCACGGGGCGGACAGAACAACGCCCTGCAGTGCAGGGACCTGAGCTTTTCAGCCACCGGATTCTGGATTCACTATTAGTCTGACTTCACTACAGACACAGGAGAGGGGCGATCTTCTTAAACTTGTAAGTACTGTACACAGCAGCTTCGCGAAGTGCTGTCTCTGTGCCCGTGCGCGTCCTCGAATAAAGTTTCCGTAAAGTAACGGGAACATAGGGAGCATCACATGTTTAGTTTGTCCTCGGCGTAATTGGGATATATTACTGGCTATAATAACACAGTTTCCTGAGAAATTACGCATAGACGACAAATGCTTTTTAAAAAATTTTTTTTTGGAGTGTCGCTTTTTAAAATCTCTTATTTTATGAATCTTAACTGTCCCCTAGATTAGTTTACAATAGTTTAGGCATGACTCGCTATATGAGAACTCGACGAAAGCTAAATATAAATGTCTTCTGATGCTTCAACCATGCCGTGTTACTTTGCTTACTCTGCTTACTTTGGCTTCCACAAACTCTGTCTGGTTTGTGGAAGCCAAAGGAATTTAAAAATTCCTTTTACAAACTAATAATCGTCGCTTAAAGCTCGACTATTGTCTATTCAACAATATGACACTATGCAAAAAAAAAAAAAAATCAAAAAGTGGACTTAAATGTTCACCAATGCTTCTTTTAATCTCCCGATGGTTTATAAAAATTACATTTGTTTAATACGCCTTCTGTGTGATGGAGCTGGCAGATATTAACTAAATACTAAATGGCACCATCTTAAAACAAACTGGAGAACACAGACAACAAAGACCAAACAACAAAAATAAAATATAATATTTGGCAAAAAGATTACAGCCTGTGGCTACTGATGCTTTGATGACAATACACTATGAAAGGATTTAATAAGAAATATATATAATAACCATCGGACTTGCAGATTAAAAAGTAAATAGGCATATCTTCTAAATCTCTTCAAATGACTGTTGTACCTGGACATGTTCAAGACTGAAAGGAGCTCTCATTGTCTGAAAGTAGAAACACCACAAAGTAAAAACCACATTACAAGTCAAAGTGTTAACCAGACAAGTGTACTTAAAACCTGTGCAATCATGCTCTACCTTGTCCAGAAGACTAATTTGAATGCTGTTTATCATTTTGCTTTTTACAAAACTAGCCTTCTGTATTCGTGAGTCTGCACAGTATGTAACTGGTTAACAATTGTCCTTTGTATTGTAACAGGAAATTGAAATAAGCATAGAAATATTCAGCGATCCTAGTAAATAACACTTTCACACACAGCAAAAATAATTTTAAAATAGGCCTATATGTTATTCATCTTTTTAATTGTTTTTGATGTCGTGGCTGTCACAAATCAAATACTCACGACACTGTGCAGTTAACTTCCGTTTTCCAGTCCATTTTTGTGGAATCCAAAGCCCATTGTTTCTGACTTTACCCTGATGTTGTGCCAACTACACAAAAATCACGCAAAACAAAAGAGGAAGAAAACTAGTAACAGTTAAAATGGTCAACACTGAAAATTCTGCTTCAACCTCCTAAGACCCGAACTCTTCCACGACATGCATTTTTAATTTCTCCTTGATATTTGGGCATGTTGAGGCCCAATTAATGTAAAAACAAAGAATTACCAGATTTTACCAAATTTTGATAGAACAGTAGCAATATAATGTCCTTGTAAGTAGAAATCAGGCCCATGTTGAGCAAAATTGAGTATTTTGGTCTAAATAACCCAAAATGTGATGTCCACATATGTGGACACCAGGTCCTAGGAGGTTAATAACAACATAAAGCAATCTTCCGCAGCTGTCCTACCGCACTAACATGCTTAAGGATTGCGGAACACTGTTACACTGCACATTTTGAGTTTTATTGCTGTCAGATTTGCATTTAAAAAACACACAAAAGCCTGTGTGGACCGGGAACTTCCTTTTCTTTCTTTCTTTCCACCCCCTTAATGCTTCTTTCAGAATGACTGTGTGGTTTTATTACTCAATGTCAGAAACAGCCTATGTAACATATTCCATCCATTCTGAGGACACAAAACAACATTTGATTTATTTTTATTTTGTGTGACAGCATCCTGTGTGTGGATTTTTCAGGCACATGTCCAGCTGCTTCATGTCTGCTCTGAAGCTCGGTCTCCTCACTCCTGCTGGCTTGTCACTCTGAGAGTCATGTCGTGGTGCAGGTGAGTTTGCATTCCTGTTGCCCAAGTGTTTTTGTATGTTTTTTCGTGGGAGGGTGTTGCCTTCATTTCAAATTAAAACCAAAATGTTAGTTTTGCATAAGTGTTAAGCCACAGCCCATGAGGTGTCAGGGCTACAGCAAAGAATTTGATAATTAAAATGATGCTTCAGTCTTTTGCAAAACAAACATCAACTGTACTGTAAAAAGGATGTGTGAAAAACATATGCTGTTACATGCGTGTCGCATTTTGTGTGCATGCACAAATATTTTCAACACAACACATGTTCTGTTTAATTTAAAACAGGAAGATGAATGCTTTGAATGGTCAACCCATGTGCACCACACGGTCTACCATTAAGGCACCAGCATTAGCTCTGTTGGAAGGAATATAACACCCATTGCTGCATTTTAAGCTGTTTGAGGATTGATTTTAACAGGTGAAACCTCAGTGTAGATCTCAGCCTGCAAACACGATCACACCAAAGTGACACAACCCTTACTGATACAGTATCACATTACAAGACAAGACAAAGGCAACATTATAACAAGGCCCATTGTAACGATCACTGAGCTAACACTGGTATGTGATCATTCTAGAGTTAAAGTGCACTCTGTCCTCATGTTTCAGGAAATCACAAGTTTACTCTTAAAACCACATTCAGAGCAAAGGATCATATTCTGAAAAATAATTTCACCTTATGCCTATGCCACAGATATAGAGAGCAATTGTAACAAGTCAACAAGTGTTAAAAAAACCCACTGTATTGTTAGCTAATAAAGGGAACACAAACAAATTGCAAGTTCCTTGCAAGTTATGCCCTTGTCAGTGCAATGTATGCTACAGTTGCGGGTTTAACCACATCACCCTAAAGGAACTTTCAAGAAGAATGCACTGCACTGCACAAGTAAGGCTATAAGGCTTTGGCTCACATCTTTGTGTTCACTGCATGCTTGTACTTGCTTCTACTCAATAACTTCCTCAATAAGTTAGTCTAGTTTCATTCTGATCTTAATTAATCTCTGTCTTTTGTCTTGTCGCTACAGAGTTTTGAAGATGAAAACCATCAGGGCAAGAAATGTATTGATGGTGGTAGCACTCGGGCTTTTGCTCCTTCACCTTTGCAAAGATTTTGTTGACCATAAAACTATAAGTTTCCACGTAGATGTTAGAGAGGACCACAGCCGACTGACGCAAAACACCAAAAACAGCACATATGTATTCTCATGGCCAAAATGTCAACAAAAAACATCTGCTGCCAACATCGCTGAGTTCAACTCTTTGCCTAATTCTATCAAGGATTTCCTCTACTATCGCCACTGTCGCCACTTCCCCATGCTACTGGACATTCCGGACAAATGTGGAGGAGCTGATAAATCTGGAGAAGTCTTTCTTCTTCTGGTCATTAAAAGCTCTCCGGGGAACTACGAACGCAGAGAGGTGCTGCGCAAAACGTGGGGTGAAGAGAGGTTACACAACAGTGCGTGGATTCGACGGATATTCATCTCAGGAACGACAGAGAGCGGGTTTGAGAAGGAAAGGCTGAACAAACTCCTGGAGCTGGAGCAACAGGAGCACAACGACATCCTCCAATGGGATTTCAGTGACACATTTTACAACCTTACATTGAAACAGATACTCTTTCTTGAATGGATGGAAAGGAACTGTCCCAATGCTCACTTCCTGTTGAATGGTGATGACGACGTCTTTGCCAACACAGACAACATGGTCGAGTATCTGCAAAGCCTCAAGGACAATGATGGAAGCCAGCACCTCTTTACTGGCCATCTGATCCAAAATGTTGGCCCTATTAGATCACCAAACAGCAAGTACTATATTCCTGTTCAGGTGCAGGAGTCAAACTCGTACCCTCCTTATTGTGGTGGCGGGGGCTTCCTCCTCTCTGGCTATACAGCTTCAGTCATTTACAATATGTCCCAGTCTATTACCATTCTTCCCATTGATGATGTTTACATGGGGATGTGTCTGGCCAAAGCAGGACTTGGCCCCACTTCCCACATGGGCGTCAAGACAGCAGGACAACACGTTCCATCCCACAGTTTAGACCAATACCATCCTTGCTTTTATAAAGAGGTTTTACTTGTGCACAGATTCCTTCCAGCTCAGATGTATCTAATGTGGCACAGAGTACATGATCCAAATCTAAGATGTGGTCTCTCCAGCCAAAAACATTTGTAGCACCAAACTTTAACTTCTAGGCAATAATAGAGCTTAGTGATGTTCCGGTTCCTCCTGCTTCCAGCTCAAATGAACATGTAAGTGTTTGTTTCACATACTGTAAAGAGAAAAAACTTTTGCTGGACAGAAGGGACTGGCACATACCTTAAATGAGTTGACAACATTTGAACAGGCAGGACTGGCTGTTGCGTTACAATACAATACATTATATTTTGTCTTTGTCTCACCAAATCTTGTACCTTTCTTTACCAGATTGTCTAATATTACTTAATAGGTACTATACTGGTTGGATTGCTAGATTTTTCTTTTGCTTGAAATGCCCACTTACAGCACAGAAAGAATGAATGTGAATTTTAAGTAGCCATCAAGTGTAAAGTTACACCTCATTTTGAGAATTCTCATTGGAAAATGAGTCCACATTTAAGGTCATTGGGTCTGATTTTCTATATTTTAGTATCACATAAAGTTCAGCATAGCTACAGCTGATACAGACTAATAAAGGCCATGTTTTAGTAGACAAAAGCTGCCAGCTAGAGTGCAGCCGTGTGTTAGCTACCTTGTCCTGAGATTAAGGACATGAAAAATGGCCAAGAATTGAAAAGTTGGCTCTATATTGCATAATTTACTGAATTTCTATCACGTAGAAAATGAGCCAGGTGTAAGGAGAGTTACCGAGTTAATGTTAGCTGCCTGTAAATCAAATGTGAATTTTAAGAGCTGATTGTAATATTTAATTCATACTTTCTGTTGGAGTTTTTCTTTATGTCGCGTGCCAGCCAGTGTGAAAATCATGAACAGATGACATATAATCAACCAATTCAAATGTAAAGCATTGCGGAGTACTATGGTTCATCTGTATGGGTCTTTTCATGCTACGATTGTATGGAGGAAAGTACATTTTGCGGGTTAAATTGGTTATAAGAGCTGGGTATTTATTTACAATAAAATACAGCAATGATATGAAAACATTTTATTTATGTATTGTTTTTCTGCACAAAGTTACAAAGTGCTTAAAATATACTGAGACTTCTCCAAAAATAAATACATACATTAAATAAAACAGGACAAATAACAATGCAATTCATCACCTAAAAAGAACGATTGAACTCATGTTTGAGTTGGTTTGATATTTTAAGTTCTACATTTGGTAAATTTTACACTGCAGTTTAATTGTACCTGTAAACTTCTGAACAATGCCCAGCTCTAGATCTGATGCTTGTGTTGCCGCAGATATCATCCAAAATCATTTCTCAGGGTTTCTTAAGAACAAAAGGTGTAATATATATATATTTTATCTTCTTAATCCTCTTTGTTCTGTTAAGCCTTCTTTATTTTGTTTGTTTCAGCCTCAATATTTCTGTTACACAAAGGGATTTGTGCCTTACATCAGTGTTGCAGAACATAACAACTGGGTGTCGGTAAAAGCCGTTACAAGTAGTTGCCAGTAGGCAATCCAATGCAGGATCACTGTTTCATTAAGAATCAATATCTGTTGTTGCAGATTCAGTATGCTGAATCGAATATATGCACAAATGTTCAAATCTGTTTGGGTTTAATGCTGCTAAGTAAGGGGCTATATGTTGTACGGTTAAACAGCTTTAAATGGTAACTGTGAACTGCATACACTGGCAGTACACAATCGTTTTAAATAAGATGTACGCATAATGTCCTTGGACCTTTTTTGTTTGGGTGTACCTGCGCAAGACATTTTGGAGGATTATTTTGTAATAAACATTGGGATAAATATTTATAAGCTGCCTTGGATTTTGTTCATGTCTGTAAAAAAAATTGTTATATAATTCTAACCTTACTTAACACCAGGTGGAGGAATGTGAGGAGACTGTTTGGGTCCGTTTTAAATTCGTTAGGTTTTTTAAAAGATGTTAAGAATTAAATTAAGGGAGGATGAAAGCCAACATAACAGACAAAGCAACGCTAACTGAAAGCAACGCCTACAAGGCTTGTTTTTTTTCCCTCTCAGGGGAAGAGGTGGGCCGGCGGTTACTGTGCCCTTTTTTCGGTCTTTAACTCAGCACCTGCTTTGCATTGCCCAATCAGTGTTTGGTATTTAAGGATGTCTTTAATGGCAAATAGGTTACTTTAATAACTGTTCAAATAGTTACTTGCATTTTCTCGGGTAGACTGAAGAGGATAGCTGGTATTGCTAATCTGATTCAAACACTCTATGGAAATGACAGCATGGACAAGGACTTCCTTGTTGGATAACTGCCTGCCTGTTTGCTGCCCCTCCAAATCTCATGTACCAGAAAATAGCAAGTTGTATAAAAGTCAATTGTCTGGAAAAAGTGTTAAAGTGTGTATCATTAACAAGAACTCTTTAGCATGTTCCAAAGGCAAAAATGCACCACATCAGCCATTTTTGAATGCCCAAATAGTCATACTTGCTAAGAAGCAAAACAAACCCTTTTTTAAAATTATGTTTTAACTTCCGTCACTTCCGAGATCTAACATTTGACTTGCGAGGTACGAAGAAACCACAATTTGTCACACAGCACTCCAGTCACACGCTGTGTCCCATCAGCATCTTTTCAGACTTGTATTTTATCAGTTCTGCTATGATCTGAATGTGTGCATTCGAACTTCTTCCTGCAGAAAGTAAGAACATGAGCAGCATTTCCCAACTGTTTCATGCATAGAAGTAAAACATGCATCAGCTGTCTGTGCAACAGCGAGAGCTTCACTTGCCACAGTGTTGATGAGGGTTTGCTAGGTGACTCCACCTCCAGGACATCTTTTCTATTTAAATATGGGGTGGCTCCTTTATTAGTCAGTGTTGAAGTCACTGTATCAGATAAATTTGTTTGCTCTGAGAAAATGGAGAGGTAGCATTTTGAAAATTCATTTGATTCCAGGTTATCTGTGGCTTCGAGTGCAGGACACACTGTACAATAATCAAAACATAATCAAAACATCAAAAGGCAACTGGAACATAAACCATTTGAACTCCTTGAATTGGAGTGTTTGTATGTCAGGAGGAAGCCTCACTCATCATTGGTACTAAACCCACGCCTGGCAGCTGACCACGCCCCGTCACACATACTCCTTTGTACAATGTTTTTTTTTCTATCGCCACAATACTTGCACGTTGGAGTTCATTATCTTGCTCTTTGAGACAATGATATGTAGTCAGGAAACGCTGGTCTGATCAGTATAACACCAGTCTACTTCCTGAAACACAATCCTCCTGAGTACATAGTATATATTGTGCAACTGTAGATTAGTAGACTGGTTGTTAGTTCAGTGTATAACTAAGTGCCTCGTGTAAAAGTCAGATAAGTCACCCACGCATAGAATAAAGTGCATCATGAAAATATTTGTGATTGGATAAATGAGGTCTCTAGTAAAATTAGATTGCATTTTCTATTTCCTTCTATTATCTTCTTCCTCGTTTACCTTTAAAGAATAAAGATAAAAGGGCCTCTTTATTCTTTGCAAGATAATATGATTTTACAAAAGCTTGAGATTTGCAGCATTTGTTAAGTTCCCGCCACAACAATTCAGTCGACTTGAAGTGCATGGTGTTGGTTCAGCTAGACTTTGACTGAATCATTGCAATGCCTTGATTTTTGTTTTTCAGACATGTGGTTATTGATTTGCTTAGGATCACCGTGATGTTGCACGACACAATTTCAATCAAGCTCTTGTTATCAGACAGAGAGCCTCACATTTGACTCTAAAATACCTTGGTATAAAAGGAGTTCATGTTCACCTCAGTGTCTGCAAGGTGCCCAGGTCCTGTGGCTGGAAAGCAAGCCCTAATCATCACCTCCCCACCCCTGTGCTGACAGGTGGTAAGAGGTGTTTGTGTTGATGTGCTGGTTTTGTCCAAAGTGGTGTTGTCCATTATGTCCAAACATTTCCACTTTGGCCTCGTCTCTCCAAAGGACACTGCTCCAGAAGTCTTTGTGTAATATGTCTTACACTGTTGTTCATTTGAGGAGGAGAATCTGGTTGGAACCAGTTGTGTTGTACTGAGTTTTATTATCATATTTAAAACCTTAAATTAAAGAAACAATGTAGTTTCTTTATCTTACGATTGCACAAGCAATGTTACACCTATTCTGCCATACTGGATCTTGATCTATATATTCTTCTCTAATGCTCATGAAATAACTAAAATGTGGAAATGGATTAATCAAACCGTCATGGTCCTCGGCCTCTGAACCAGTATTTTCAGTGTGTTCTATTTTTCTTGGATTTAAGAAATTATATTCTCTTTCCTAGAGCTTCTCAGTTCATTAGTTTCTTTATCTGTTCCCTGTGTCTGGGTCTCCCTCCCTGCGTTTGTTTCCTTCTTTTAATTTGATAGTCCCTTATCCCCTGTGTGTTATGCTATGCTTTGCCTTCCTCGGTTCATTGGTGGATTTAGTTCACTTGTGTGTTTTCCATCTCCCTGATTACCCAGGGTATATTTTAGCTCTCTGTCTCCTCTTGTCATTTGTCGCAAACTCCATCATGTTGAATGTCTGCCTCGTGTTTCAGTCTCCTAGTTGATTATTACTTCCGTTCCCAGTTTCCTCCTTGTCTCCTAGTCTGTACTTTTCCTTTAAGCAATAAAGCTGCTTTTGAGTTCAGTTCTGCCTCTGAGTCCTGCATACTGGCTCCACAAACAGCTTTAAATGACACAAATGTGAAAACATTAGAAACATTTTTTTTATTACAGTGGAAAAACAGTCCATATAAACGTAACGCAAAAAGTAAGGAAATCTGCTATTCTGCTATTCAGTCTTGTTTGGCGTCCTAATTTCACACACGATTTTTACAAATCAACCATTTCAGAGTATTGAGCAAGAAGATTGGTATAAAGGAAACACAAACATGGCAACAAAACAAGCTCTGAAACTCATTTTAATCTTAACCAAAAACCACTGTCAGAGGCTTCGAAGCTTGTGTCGAGTAATTGAGGGAGCGTTTCCGCGATGCGCGTATCGAGGCTTGCTTCATTTATGGGAGGAGCTGAAAATGATGACGTCCGAAGCCTCGCTGCCCGGCTGTACCACGTGACTGGTTCATGAAGCGATTCGAACTTTTCCGCGAGATATGACAGCGATATAAACCCCTCAGACTTCATTCAAAAATGTGGGTGTTTGATGGAGAGTTGCGGTTAGTGAGAGTTTGGAGGTTTATGAGAGTGAGGAGAGAAAGTCAGGAGAGAATGGGGCCAGCTAAGAAGAGAAGGATGTCCTCCCCTGTGTGGGAACATTTTGATCTTATTCCTCCCAACAAGCTATGTAAATTTCTACAGAAGATGTATTTTCATAATACTGATGGTGCAATACAATTTATGTTAAGCTGTCTTGACTTTTGTACAAGGTGAAGTGTTTGCTATGTGCCAGGGAGCTGGGATATAACGACACCTCATCCATGCTTAGGCACTACAGAGCTTTGCATGAGAATAAGAGGAACACCGATTGTGGAGCAAGACCAGGTGAGCCATCAAATCCAATGATAATATAGCATGCAGTAATGTTACTAAATGATATAACAATATTATACAGCTGTTATAAGTTACGTGTGTGATATTTATATTTGTGCTTTGTCTTTATTGTCTTTCCTCAGGAGAACAATCTCAAATAGATGAAGACCTGGTTAGCATGGTGATTGAGGACTCCCAGCCATTTAGCATTGTGGAGGAAAGGATTCAAAAGATTTGTGAAATCATTAAATCCTAGCTATGTTCTCCCCACTAAAAAGGTCATAAAAGCAGTGAAAATTTAGTTTTTACAGAATAAAATGTGAACAGGCAGGACTGCTGTCCATACCTCAACGTTACAAAAGCACAATCACTGTCCACACCCCAACAACACCCCACCTCACAGTAAATGATCATTTCCATTTTAAGCATTTCCAAATAATCATTTTCCATACTGCCAGTATAAATATACACAGTATACTGCCATCACTACAATATAGATGTTTTACACACTCCTTTTGTTGTTGACATTTACAAGCTGTGTGCAAAAGGCCACACTCTTCAAATTCATGCCAGCTATTATTTTTACGTCCAGTAGGTGTCCTACTAGAGCAAATGAAGCTTCAAGAAGCTTTGCGCTGGGATGAACCAATTGGATGAAAAGCTTCAGTGCTTCATGAAGCTTCATCTGCCCATCACTAACTGCCAGGGCTCTGTGTGCGGGCAGGTGGAAATGTGGATCCAAATGCAGGACTCCGAGACAAAATGTAACTGAAAACCACAGCTTCTATTGCTGGCATGAAACAAAAACAGAAACCAAACAGGCAGGCAGGATCTGAGGGTACGACGCAACACTGAGCACAGGAAATGGGACTAACGAGACAGGGAGCAGTAGAACTGAACACACTCACATGAGACACAGACCTTCACAATAAAACATGAAACAACAAATCCTTAAACACGGATAAACAGAAACATGAAACTCGAATAATAATCATCATCATTACCACCACAAACACTACAAGAGAATAAGAAAACAATCCATAATGCAAAAACACACCAAAACAAAACAACTCAAAATATTGGGTCAAACTGGCCCAGAACCGTGACAACCACAGCACTTTGGACAGTATGTGAATGAAAAAACAAACAAATAAATACAAATTTTTTTATACAATATTATTAAATGTGGGAGTGCACGGTCTATCCCATTAAAATATTTGAAAACGTCAGAGCAGATATATTTCTTTATCATCCTGTCTACGTTAATGCAAGCACCGCCTAGTCGGCTCGGTGCAACCCTCATATCTTTGGGCGCAAGAACAAACATCCGTTCTGGCAGCTATGAGGTTTAAGGTGTGGCAGCAGACAGAATAAAATCTCTTTTAGGAAGTGACTAGCTTACATTTAAACTATACAGAAACTGCAAAACTAAACTGTGAATTTTGGATTCTCAAGTGATCAACATACTATGCCTGTCCTGGGAAATTGAAACTTGGATTAAATCTGGATTTTGATGAAGCTAATCAGACAATTATCACATTTCACCACATCTCACTGCATTAAGGTTTGTATGAGTTAATGTGGTTATTATTTTAAAAATATAAATATATGTGTCACCTGTTGATATTATAGCAAAAGATGAATCTATTTTCATCAACCTGACAGTTAGAGAAAACTGAAATGAGGTCAGTGAATCAGTAACTGATTTGTTCCTCGGCTGTGCCTTAGTAATTACTTGTCGTACCTTGGCGTACCTTTTTTGCTGTTATTGTTGTTAGAGTTCTTCCTTGTTTTGGTTTGCAGAGTTTAAAGGATGAGAATAAGAAAGTCAAAAACTCTCCCGATAGCTGGAGTTCTTTTTTTATTGATTTTCCTTCTTTGGAGGGTTGGATTTTTCCACCGTGGGTTTGACTTTGTACCTGTGACTACCAGAAGCAAAGGCGTTCAAAAGAAGACACCTATGAAAAACTCTCATATGTCCTCGTGGCCAAAATGTCAACAAAACACATCTACCGCAAACATCCCAGGATTCCAAACACTTCCTCAGCATATCAAAGATTTCCTCTACTATCGCCACTGTCGCCACTTCCCCATGCTACTGGACATTCCGGACAAATGTGGAGGAGCTGATAAATCTGGAGAAGTCTTTCTTCTTCTGGTCATTAAAAGCTCTCCGGGGAACTACGAACGCAGAGAGGTGCTGCGCAAAACGTGGGGTGAAGAGAGGTTACACAACAGTGCGTGGATTCGACGGATATTCATCTCAGGAACGACAGAGAGCGGGTTTGAGAAGGAAAGGCTGAACAAACTCCTGGAGCTGGAGCAACAGGAGCACAACGACATCCTCCAATGGGATTTCAGTGACACATTTTACAACCTTACATTGAAGCAGATACTCTTTCTTGAATGGATGGAAAGGAACTGTCCCAATGCCCACTTCGTGTTGAATGGTGATGACGACGTCTTTGCCAACACAGACAACATGGTCGAGTATCTGCAAAGCCTCAAGGACAATGACGGAAGCCAGCACCTCTTTACTGGCCATCTTATCCAGGGAAAAGGGCCTATTAGAGGGAATAACAGCAAGTACTATATTCCTGTTCAGGTGCATGAGTCCGACTCATATCCTCCTTACTGTGGGGGTGCAGGCTACCTCCTGTCTCACTATACAGCTTTGGTCATATACAAAATGTCAAAATCCATTAACCTTCTTCCCATTGATGACGTTTACATGGGAATGTGTCTGGCCAAAGCAGGACTTGGTCCTGTGTCCCACATGGGCTTCAAGACTGCTGGACTGCACATCCCATCAAATAAAGTGGATCTTTATGACCCCTGTTATTACAAAGACTTTTTACTAGTACACAGATTTCTCCCGGCTAGGATGTATTTTATGTGGCATAAAATACACGATCCTAATCTAAAATGTGGCGATAGTAGCAATCGCTGAAGATTCATATTTTCTTTGACTTTTGTCAATACTGTATTTGTTATAGCATCTCAGAAAAACTGTAGTGCTTTGCTTAAGTGAAAACTTCAAAGACATTTTAAGTAGCATTTCGATGCAAGTAAATGGCCTGTATTTGTATAGCGCTTTACTTAGTCCCGAAGGACCCCAAAGCGCTTTACACTACATTCAGTCATCCACCCATTCACACATAAGTAAACGCAGTTTTATCACAATTATGGTTGAGTAACAGCACAGAAGAATTATTACCCACTATTATTCTGTCAAAGGCTTGGTAAGATAAAACTATGGAGTCAAAGGTAATGAGAGATAGCGAGAACACTGTGAAAAACAAATTTGTATGTACTTTTTGGTACTTCTCTCTAGTCTTTGTTGTGGTTTATTTCTAATACGAATATAATAATACAAGTTTTGTAAGAGAGAGTCACTTTTAAGAATAATGTCTAACAGCTGACATCTGTGTAAGTCGACCCATGTCAAACTGGTTTGAATGTATTGGGTTAATCATTGTATCAGTCAGTCATAAATGTATTGGGGTGAAATTAAGATAAAATCAAAATACTGAAAAAAAACAAGCATGTCTTGAAATTCTGAATTATATTAATATACTTATATGTAAATATACTTACTTTATTTCTACCACTGTGTGTAACTGGACTATAAGCTTTAAGAATTTCATACAAGTCAGGAATGCAAAACACAGTGTATTACAGTGTACATTGAAGAAAATACAATATTGCATTAAAAAATCTGCACATTTTTAAGCTTAAGTTTCTGTAATATTTCAAAAATATTTTCAGACACAGCTAAAACTTAAACAAGCTGCTTTTCAGCCTTACATTCTCCTTCAGTCACTGGCAAAAGAAAAAAGTGCAAATTATTCTAAAATATTACTTAATACATACTAGAGATGGCACGATACCACTTTTTTATGTCCAATACCGATATCATAAATTTGGATATCGGCCGATACCGATATGAATGAATATAGTGAGTTTTTTAATCAATATAACTGTTTTTTTAATATCTTGCTGCTTTTTGTATAAGTTCATACTCAAGTTAAAAAACAAACAAACAAACATTAAAGCTATTCTGTTATACCTGTATGCAAAAAATACACTGCACCCAAAATATTTAATAGTTCAGCAAAACTGATCAATCTAAAAAACTTAAACCTACTCCATCCTTCCTATTCTGGTATTTTCAAGAGTAAGCAACCTAACTAATAGGGTTCTAAAACTCCCAGCAAAAATAAATAAATAAATAAATAAAAAATAGGGAACCACCCCCACCTCATGATGCTTAATCAAAATAATCAACTTTAATTTGATGCAGTGTGAAAACAAATGCACAGAAATCAATTATTTTTCAAGAGTAATTAAATAGATTCAACATCTTTCTTCAACAGAATTGCAGACTGCACAGATGGTA